TGAACAAATTAGAGATGAATGTAAATACGTTAATATTGAAGAGATAGAAATTAATGAAGAAATTTTTGAAAAAAAATAGATTTAAAAGAAACATCTAGTGAGGATGAATAAAAATAAAAATAAAACTAATTTTTTTAAAAAAAACTATTATAAAGGTTGAGGACATGGTTTGCAATAAAAACTCATTTCATTAAGAGAAAAATAGACTTTTATATAAAAAAACCCAAATAGGTCATTCGACCTGGCTAATTTGAAAATTCTCCTGATAGGTGGATAGTTTGTGAACCGGATAGGTGGTTCGGATTTTATTATTTATAATATATTAAATATCCAACGATTATTTTTTGGATGATTTTAATCATACAACAATTCAATTATTTCAATAATATCTTATTTTTTATTTTTCAATATGTTATAAATGCTACAAAATCTTTGTCATTTATGAATTTCGTGTTATTAATTCTCAATTAATTATCATTTACATTAATCTATACTCGGTGAATTTGGGCTCGATAAATCTTGATTTACATGAATCTAAGAATTTTAATGAGTGTTTAAATTTATTATAAATGAATTTATTTTTATTAACGTATCTAATAATTTTAATTAGTGTTTAAATTCAGATATTAGCAATTAATTTTTATGTATCAAATGTAGTATAAAAATGTTGTTCATTTGTTGTAATTTATCATCACAAAAATTTAAATCATAAAAGTTATGTTTTGAAAGTACAATTTTATTCTCTTAAATTTTATTTTCTTTAGTTTGTTCGAGACTAATTAAATCCTTCCAACAAATCGGTATCAAATATTATTTTTACAATATTTATAAAGTATTTTAGAATAATGTGCAATACTCATTCAATTCTGACTAGTTATTTGAAATGAATGAAAAATAGAAATAGAAATTTTAACAATAAATTAATAATTATAAGTCAATAGAAATAGAAATTTTAACAATAAATTAATAATTATAAGTCAATAATTAGCTTAAAATATACCATAAAAAGTTAATAGATTTTCAATGATTGATTCACAAAGAGATGACGACAAGGCAGGATACGATCGAGGCAACTTTCCTGTCCTAGTACCTGTTTAAGGTGGAGCAGAGCAAGGTGGGATGGGGGCCCTTGCCTTGTTTACCTTTTTTTAGTAATTCAGTTTTTATTAATCAATTGTATTGTCTCGTTCATTAAATTGAGATAATAATATATGTATTAATTTTTTTCAATTTATTTATTTATTTAT